ATTTTAAAAACTAGTAACTTAAAACTACTACACAAAACAAATGGTAGACAGCCTAGTGAATGGGAGAAGATATTTGCAAATGACATGGCCAATAAGAGGTTAATATCTAACATATGTAAACAGCTCATACAACTCAACATCAAAAAAACAACCAGATTTGGGGGGAGGGTATAGCACAGTGGTAGAGCACATGCTTAGCATGCACAAAGTCCTGGGTTCAATCCTCAGTACTTCCTCTAAAAATAAATAAGTAAGCCTAATTACTTCCACCACCTGCCCCCCCAAAATAAAGTTAAAAATAAATGAAAGAATTAAAAAAAAAAAAGCAACCAGATTTAAAAGTGGGCAGAAGAACTGAATAGACATTTCTCTAAAGAGGAAATGCAGATGGCCAGTAGTCACATGAAAAGATGCTCAGCCATTGCTAACCGTCAGGGAAATGCAAATTAAAACCACAATAAGATATCACCTCACACTGGTCAGAATGGCCATCATCAAAAAGAACACAAATAACAAATGGTTGGTGAGGATGTGGATGGAGAAAAGGGAACCCTTGTACACTGTTGGTGGAAATATAAATTGGTGCAGCTAGCATGGAAAACAGTATGGAATTTCTCAAAAAACTAAAAATAGAATTGCCATATGACCCAGCAATTCCACTCTTGGATATATATCTGAAAAAAACAAAAACACTAATTCAAAAAGATACATGCACCTCATTGCTGATAGCAGTATTTATTATTTACAGTTGCCAAGATATGGAAGCAACCTAAGCATCTGTCAGTAGATGAATGGACAGAGAAGCTGTGGTATACACACACACACATACAAGCACACATGCACACACAATGGAATGCTACTCAGCCATGGAAAAGAATGAAATTGTATTTATTTTAAATTGAAGTATAGTCAATTTACAATGTTTTAATTTCTTGTGTACAGCATAATGTTTCAGTAAGAATGAAATTTTGCCATTTGCAGCAACATAGATGGAGTTGGAGGATATTATGCGAAGTGAAATAAGTCAGACAGAGGAAGACAAATACTGTATAATATCACTTATATGTGGAATCTAAGAAATGCAACAAGCTAGTAAATAAAACAAAAAAGAAGCAGACTCACGGATGTAGAGAACAAACTAGTGGTTACCAGTGGGGAGAAGGGAGGGGGAGGGGCAATACAGAGGTGGGGGGGGAAAGGGTTGTTATGGGATTATATGAAATCATGTATGTGAAACTTTTGAAAATGGTAAAGCACTGTAGAATTTAAAAAATCTTTTATTGAATTGGAAAAAAAAAAAGAAGCACTATGAGACCACCCCTTCCTTCTTGACATTCTTTCTTTGGTTCCAGTATCACCACACTTGCCTGGTTTTCCTTTTGCTTTTCTGGCATCTTCTTTTCAATTTCTTTCATTGTTTATTCTTATTCCACTTGTCTCTTAAGGTTAGTTATTTTCCCTGTGTTCTGTCCTTAAGACTTTTTTTTAAATACTCAATCCTTGAACAAAGTTACCTAGTACCATTGCTTTAATGACCACTTTGGTGTGAAGGATTCCCAGATCTACATAGTTACCTTTGTCTTTGCTTCTGAATTCCAGACCCATGTTTCCAACTGTCTGCTGAATATCTTTCCAGGTGCCTCTTACTGGTACTTTGAACTCATAATGTCATAATGTTCACAGTCAAAATCATGCTCTCTTAACTTCCCATCTCCATCACTTTCCTGTGTTCATATGTTATCTCTCTTAAGCAAGGGTGTCACCTTTCTTCCAGTCATCCAACTTAGAAGCTTTGGCAATCAAAATTTGGTGATCTTTGATTATCACCTCATACTTTTGCATGCTGCCCCCTCTCGCTAAATATATGTAATTGATTTCCAAATCCTGTCATTTCTACTTCCAAGTCTTTCTCAGATGCCTCTCCCTTTTCATTCCACTCCCAGTTTGAGCCATATTATCTCTGTTCCATGATATAATAATCACATAACTGAACACATTGCTTACTGTCTAAATGCATTCTTTCCTATCCTTGGTATTCAATTATTTTTCCTAAAGCACAATTCTAATAATATTCCTCTGCTCAGAAGCCTTGAAAACTCATGATTGCCTACAGAACAAGTCTGAATTCAGCTCACATAGAATTTAAATTATACTGTAATGTGATCCCAGTTAACCCTCCTAATCTTGTCTCTTCCTCCATGAAATGCCCCTGCACCTATACACACAAAACTTCCTGATAGCTAAATATTCCCATTTCTCCTGTCAGAATTAATCTGTTTTTTCTCTTTTTTTAAGTATAATATGACATTCATAGAATATTTTCATATGTTCATTTAATCTGTTTACCTGAGTACAGGGACTAAATTTTTTCCCTTTACTTTTTTGTGTTTTTAATCTCTTTTGTAGCACTCAGAATAACCTTTTGCCTATAATAAACAAATGTTGATGAATTATTCATGACTGAACTGATTTAGAGATTTTTTCCTGTTAAAATTTTTGTGAAGTTAGACAATGGAAACATGATAAGTAAATATTGTTTTGTTTTCCACATTACAATAAATTCCGTAATACTTGCTGTTGATTTTTCATTAAAAAAATATTAAAATATAGTGTTGAGATTTTTTTGTTTTGTTTTGTTCACTTGTTTTGTTTTTGTGTTTCTTCTCCTAGGGGAAAAATCATATTTATTCTATTCTCTTACATGTTTAATGCTAACTTTTTAATATAAAATTAATATTTTTTTCTCTGGCTAGGTATGTAGTACATGGATTGGAAGTGGAGTTGTCAGTGATCTCAGTGATCTCCGCCGAGTACACAATTTACTTGTTTCTTCTCTGGACAAAGTTCAGGCTGGAAAAGGATCTTCCAGCCAACTGTACCGAGAGAGCGCCACAACCATGGAAAAACTGGCCGTTCTCAAAGCATGGGCAGAGGTAACCATGGCCTATTTTTTTTAATCATTTCTCCATCCATGAGCAAATGTTTTTATATTCCTCTTAGTTAAAAATGAAGTTGTTTCTTTTTTTTTTTATTTTAACTGACCTTTGGTATGGAATTTTTTTTGAAAATCAGTTATTTGCTCTTTCTCACTGAAATACATATACATTTCTGTCTTAAAAAAACTTATGGAACCTTTGAAAATTATATTTTCAATCAGTTTTTTGAAAACATCTATATTGAACAAGGGCTCTTCTTACTATGAAAAAATTAGGCAGAGAAAACTTGCGAATATAAATAATAGAAAAATTTTATGCCAAGAATCTTTTATTTGATTAAATTTCAGGAGACTTGCCACCATGGATCAATACTGAGGCTACAGGGTTTTTTGTTTGCTTGTATGTTTTATTTTTTAACAGCTGGTTTTACCACTTTAATTCCCACAGCCACTTTTAAAAAATAATGATACTGTTTTAAATTGACTTTTCTAAATTCCTTCTGCTAGTTGCTTTCAAATTCTTATCGTCTGTACTCAGGTATTTCAAGTAGCTCTTTATTCCTTCTTCGGCCAACCCAGTATCTCACTTCCCTATTTCCATGGTATCAGCAGCCTGTGACCACCTAATAGGTAATTGCTGGCTCAAAGAATGTGACATCCAGATGACAATAGTTTATATAAAAACCCCTGGGTTTTTGTGGATTTTTGTTTGTCACAGAAGGGAAAATAGAGCAATAAGGTATTGTGGAAATTAGTTTTTCTCTCTGATTTTTAGATCAAGTTGTTTGCATAGAGCATCCTTGAATGTTCCTTTATTTTACCCTGATGCCATTTTTTTGGCTTAGACAAGTAAAATATTTGCATTGATAAAATGTTTGTTCTTATTAATAAAATTTTAGTTTTTTCAAATTAATGCAAATCAATAATTTTAGGTGGACAGTAGTTAGATACTATAATATGATTGTTTTCTCACTTTGAAATTAATAGAAACTCTTTAATTTTCACATATCTAATTGTTAACTAAAACTTACTACTACTTTTCTTGTCTCTAGAAATTACATTCCAGTTGATTGAGTGATTTTTTTTATTTAAAAAAAATAGCTTCCAAATTTGTTCTTAATTCCCCAACCCCATTTATTATTTCCCCTAAATGAAGAGACCATTATGTAGTTTGATGATCATAAGATCATTTGCCAATTAGCTGGTTCTCTGCTGACTTGCATTTGATTCACCTACCAGGAAGTCTGGCGTAGTTCAGTATAAACAGCATTAAATGTTGAATTAAAGGCCCTAGAACAAGTTCTGTCTTTATAATTTACCATCTTTGTGACTTTGGTCAAGTGATTTGATCTCTCAGATCCTCAGTTTTTTTTTTTATTATAACATGGAAATACAGTAATATCTTCATGTAAGGTGATGTATATAAAAAGTCCAAGCATTGCATCTGGCACAGAATGGAAGATAAATAATTGGTTTTTAGAAGTTTAGAAGTTAGAAGTTAAAACCTCAACTAAATTATTAATGCACATTTTAATTTGAAACTCTTTTCTTATTGTGGGGTAACTTGGTTGTATTATTTTAAATGATTTGCACCTCAAGCCTCAGCCTGTGATGTTATCTAAGCTATTCTCCTTGCTTAGCTTCCTTTCCTGAGTCCTTTTCCTCAAAGGCCCAGCACATTCTAGTTTTCTCTACTCAAGGTCTATCTTTGCTTCTACTTTTTTACTCAGAAAATTGAGGATGTTCGTTTTCCAACTCTAGAGATTGTTACTTCAAATTCAAGTCTTTGTATTTATATAAGTTGATCACTGTTCTTTTACCTGTGTGACCTTTGGTGGATTATTTAACTGCTTCTCTAAACCTGTTTTCTCAACTCTCAAGTATGGATAATAATTATGTACATTTCATGGGATTATATTGTGAAGTAAAAGAGGTAATAATGACTTTCTCAATACCCAACCCATTAAGCATGCACAATGAATGTTATCAGCTGTGATTAATATAATAATTATTATTATTTTAAAGTTTTCCCGTAACCCAGGATTACCTTTTCTCATTCTCTTACCTCCCACTCTCTGATTCATTCAACAAAGTGTTATTGAACACCAGCTCTGTGCCAGGGTAGCAGTTGAGAATACACTGGTGAACTTGACAAATGTTCTACTTTTACTGAGGAAGACAAACTAGTGGACAAGTGTATGCAACAGAAATACTGAGCGTTATCATAGGAGAAGTACAGACTGTTGTGAACACATGACAGAGGCACCTAGAACAGTCTGGGGGTTCAGAGGAGGCTTCTTGGAGAGAGTGATACTTGAGTTGAGACCTGGAAGATGAGAGTGGGTGTTAGGAGGCATGACTCAGGATGGGGCTGTTCCAGGCTTCGGGCTATCAGGTATGTGGCCCCTCTGTGTGCTTTCAGCGTCTCCTTCTACGTGCTCTTTTTCCTTGCCTACATTCTCCCCTGACTCAGCTGCTGCTTCTGCATACTCACCTCTTCCCATCTCAGTTGCACTGAAGTAGTTCAGTATCTTCATATCCTCCACTCTTTAGTCACCTGCTTTTCGGTCCTCTGCAGTCTGGGTTTACTCTCACCATTCCACTGAAATTACTTCACTAAAATTGCAAATATTGTAATTCTCCACTTCACTGGACACTTTTCAGCCTCTTTCTTATTTGGCCTCTCTACAGCCTGTGATGTTGTGTCCTCTGGAAATCCTTTGTTCTCCTTGACTTCTGTGACACTACTGCCTTGGTTCTGCTCTTTCCTTTTCATTGTTCCTTATCAACCTCACTTGCTAGCTTCTCTTAGCCTACCTGCTTTTTAAAAGTTGGTATTTTCCTTGTCCCTCTTCTCACTCTTCATACTTTTTCTTAATTCAATTATAGTTGAAGTACAATATTATATGAGTTACAGGTGTACAATATAGTGATTCACAATTTTAAAGGTTATACTGCATTTACAGTTACTATTAAATATTGGCTATAGGCCCCCTGTTATAGTATTCATTCTTCATTCTTTCTGGGCTGTCTCATCCATACCCATGCCCTATAGCTTTTACTTGTATATTAAAGATTCTAAATCTACTTTTTCACCCAAAGCTCTCTCCTAAATTCCAGTCCCTTATTTTTGTCTGTTTATGGAACATCTCCACTTGAATGACCCATAACTACCACATACCCTACATGTCTAAAATAAGGTATCTGTTTTCTCATTCCCCTTTTTCCCCCCTTATCCCTACTAATGGTCCTACCTTCTGTCTTCAGACCAGAACCTAGGTATCAGTCATGACTACTTCTTTTTCCTCAAACCCCCTCATCTTACATCTACTTAGTAACTCAGGTTCCTATTTATTTTACTTCATTAATATGTTGAAAAATAATGTAATTTTGTTCTGATAATAAGAGTCCATATGCTCACTACGCAAATTCAGAATGTAGAGAAAAAGTATAAAAAAGAAAATAAAGCTAATCTGTAATCTTATCACCCAGAGGTGACTACTGCTAATATGTTGGTATATATTACTATGCATATGTACACATATAAATCATTTATATGTCTGTATAATGGGTGTGTATGTATATGTGTGTATCTATCTATATCTTTAGTTTCAAAATAAAAATGGAATCTCTTTCAATGTAGCAACTATCTTTTTAATTTAGCAATAGATCATTTATACCTTTTCCATCTCTATATATTTGTTCTCTTTCCCCACTGCCTTAGAGTCCTCATCATCTGCCACCTATTCTATGCAATTTGCATCCTGATTTGTTTTTTTTTCTACTACTAGTCTCCTTCCTCCCCCCAGTTCCCACACAGATTCTCACAATAATCATTCTAAAATGCAAATTTGGGCAAATAATATGAACTGATAATTCACAAAGAGGAAACCAAGCTACAAATAAACATATGAGGGGAGGAGATAAAAAACATTTCTCAACTAAATTAGCATGATTCTTTAAATGATAGTATCAGTAAAACTCTTCTAAAGGATGATTACAGTTGACCTTGAATAATGCCGGAGTTAGGGGCATAGACCCTCCACGTAGTCAGAAATCTGCCTGTAACTTACAGTCAGCCCTCTATGTATGTGATCCCTCTGTATATTCGTGGTTCCACATTCGTGGATTCAATAACTGTGGATCGTGCAGTACTGTAGTATTGACTATTGAACAAAATCCGTGTATAAGTGGATTCGCACAGTTCAAACCTATGCTTTTCAAGGGTCAACCGCATATCAAAAAACTTTTTAAAACTGTGCACATTAGTTGATCAATTTATCCTAAGGAATATCAAGGATATATACAAAGATTCTGCCTTAAAGATGTTGATGGTGATATTATTTATTGTTCTCAAGGAAATAGAAATAAATGTATTTCTTGACCCAAAGATGATTGTATTAAGTGAGCAGAAAATTGATTTAGACATTATATACAAACATTTTATTTAAAAGACTGTGAGTATGTATATATAACATGGTTAGAATGTTAACAGTGTTAGATCTGAGTGGTAGGATTGTGAGTAGTTTTATTTTCTTCATTTTACTTATGCCTCTGATTTTTCTGTATTTCTTGTATAATACCTAATAAGAAAAATAAGCACAAAATTTGTTTAAAAACAGTTCTAAAGTATATATTCTCAGATTACAGATAGCAGTGTAAAATACAGAACCCTTTTAGAAAGCATTTGACAGTGTCTGTTCAGAGCCGTGAAAGTATTTATAATCACTGACCCAGTAATTTCATTTCTAGGACATTGTCCTAGGGGAAAATATCTAAAATATGAAAAAGAGAGATGTTTACAAAAATGTTTACTTGGAATGTTACTTACAATGTGAAGAACTGAACACCTTTTGTCTTTGAAAACTATGTCTCATCTTTCTAAGATTCGCAAGCCTAAGTAAAGAATCAGAAGTAAATGTAAAATTTCAACTATAGGAAAATTGTTAGGTGTATGTCTTCCACCACAGCCTTTAAGAATAATAGTTATGAAAACTAGTAGTCATATAGAAACCCTTATAATATGTTAATAGGTAAAATTAAATACAAAATTTTCTATACAACAGAACTACTACTTACAAAGTCAGAATGTGAAAACCTGGAAATAGGGATTATGAATAATTTTGAAGTTTCATTTTCCAAACTTTTTATGGTATAATTTTGAAAATAAAATTAAAAGTCAAGGGAAAATACATACATCTGACCTTTAAATCCTGCAGTGACTCCTTTGCTTTCCCATTACCAACAGGGTAAAATCTTCAACTACTTCGGCCTTATATTCTGTGCTCAGTCTAATCCAAACACTTGCAGTTTCATTAGAATGCCCCGCTGTTTCCTTCTCCTTGTGCTCTTGCTCTTGCTCTCCCCTCTGCCTGGAACTCCACCTTCCATCTTCGTGAACAGGTGAACTTTTGTCTTTGAATCCTGTCTCTCCTCTTTCATACTCCATTAAGATTCCTCCGTCCTTGGTGCTCCCTGTGATTTATTCATTCATTACACAAACCGTTGAGTGTCTGTTAGGTGCCAGGCACTGTACCTGAGCACGTGCGTAGTGAGGTGGGGAAGAGAGATCATTAAAACAAATCCCTTCTCACAGCGCTTTTCTCACTCTCCCATCATTATATTAGTTTGCGAGTTTGTGGAAGGTGAAAACCATATTTGGTATATAGGTGTTATTTGTCTTTGTTGCCTCAGGTCGTAGAACAATATCAAATGCAAGACAACAGTCAGTACTCGGTAAGGATTTGATGAGTGAATGGCCGAGTATACTTATGAGTGCTTATTAAAACACTTTCTTAAGATACCAGCATAATAATCTAGAGGAAGAAAGCAAGCTTAAAACCACTAGAAAATATTAATATGGTATATTTTTGACTTAAAATTCAAAGTCCTCACTCCAGAAATTAGTTCCTGCTTCTAATTGTCAGGTATTAGTATAACTAACTGACTGTAACTAACTGTTAAAGAACATCGCAGTGTTAAGGAATGCTTTTCCTCAAAAATGAGGATTCATCGTTTCTTGTAATCATAGTCTAAACTTAGTCCTTTACTGTGCCATAGCTGTCTGCTTGTCGTAGGAACAGAGATAAGACCTTGCCATCAAGAAGCTAGTATCCCTGTTCACATACATAGACTTCCTCTTACGTACAGTGAAAGAAACACTGTGTGGGGTAAATTGGTTTCTCAAGATTTTTATGTACTGCAATTTTCTTTCTTACTCTTACTCCCCACCGGCCCACCCCCTTGTTTTTTTGCTTTTTCATTGATGTGTAATTCATCTGTATGCCAGTTGCCAAAGCCTAAATGTATGTGCAGAAACGGAAGAAAACAAACGAACAAAAGTAACTTCAACAAGGAGGAATCTTTAAGATTATATTTTAGGAAGTTGCTATTATACATCTTTTTTTGGTTTACAAAATGAAGAGAAAAGATACAGATAATATATGTGGCCAGTAAATTATATTCTTGGCTCGGCCATCTGTTGCAAGGACTAGAATGCTAAATATCACTTAAGGACTATGTAAGAAGAGATTTTGAAGGATATTTATGGAAATTCTTGCTATGACCCCTCCCCCTCTCAGCTTTTTTCTTTGAATGCTGGCTGATTGTGTCTAATAAGTCTATGAAAGCAAAGGCAGTAAACAGGAAGTTATATCCTATGGCAAAAAAAAGAGAGAGAGAGAGAGAGAGAGAGAAAACCACATATAAAAGGGTGCTTTGTAAAGTAGAACAAGAGAAGCCAGAAAAAATTCAGAGAACCCTACTCAAGGAATACGCTATGAAAGGAATAGTCAGAAGTCAGATCTATTAAAAAAAAAAGATTGCCTCCAAAGCAGGTGGAATTTATTCTTTTGAGGTTATCAGGAAATCCTGAAGTTGTTTACTTTCTAGTATCTGTACTCAGTTACTTTTGATGGTTCAACTGAATAATCATAACAACTTAGGATATATCATTTCTTAATATTATGCCTTGTTATTTTCTCCTCCTGAATATCTTACTAGGTATATGTGGTTGCTATGAATATTAAAAAGGAAGCAGAGTCAAAACCAAAAAGAGCAATTAAAAATACTGAGGATGACGATGATGATTATGGTACCATAGATGAACTGCCACCAGATAGTTTAATAACACTTGTACAACCTGAACTGCCAACACTCAGCCGCCTGTGGTTGGCAGCATTAAAAGACTATGCGCTTTTAACTTTACCAGCAGAATTTGCCAGTCAGCTCCCCCCAGATGGTAAGTACTGCATTCAGAGTTTTGCTTTTAATGGAGTTCAAAGTAGTAGTTAAGCAAAATGGAATTGGTGGAAGTTAGCTACAGTAGTAATAATAACATCTTAAATTTCTGTGGTCTTAAACTTGACATTCTCTCATTTAAGAGCATCCATATTTAATTTGTGGATTCAAATACAGCAGTAGACTTATTTGTTAGCCAAAGCAAAAATGTTCTCATTGTTATAGTAATAACTGTATGAGCTAGAGTACTCTAAATAACTATGTGTAACAAGTCATTGTGCCTAACCATGATGAAGTATATTGCTGTGTTGGTCAGTGTGTGTGTGCAGGGACAGATGAGGAAGTCTTCAGTTTGATAGAGAAAACAGGAGGAAGGGAAGACTTTGCAGAAAAGTAAAAAAGAAAAAAGACCGAGTTCCTTTGCTTATGAGAGAACGGGAAGGTGATAAGGGTTTTAAGAGTCGCTGGCGACAGTGAAGAGGAGGCCTGTGACTACGGGTAGGGAAAGGGAGAGGGCACTTAGTAGCATCAGCATTAAGCAGAGGAAAGGCTAGAAGCCCTAGCATCATCTAGGAAGTACCAGGCACTCCAGGTCAGCAGCTCCAGGAAAGACGCTAGTTTTGGTAACTCTGTAGGAGAATCTGCTTGTCCAAATTGCTCTTTTGTATGTGCTGTGATCTGAGTATTAGGAGGGGGGCCTTTGAGAGGTGCTTAGGTCGTGAGGGTGTTGCTTTCATAAGTGGGAGTAGTCCCCTTGTAAAAGAGGCCCCGCAGAGCTCCTCAGCCCCTCCCACCGTGTGAGAACACAGCAAGAAGGCCCTGGCTGTGAAGCAGGAGGGCCCTCACCCAACCTCCAACCGTACTGGTACCTTGACCTCAGACTTCCAGCTTCCAGAACTGTGAGAAATATATTTCTGTTTTTTATAAGCCACCCAGTCTGTGGTATTTTCTTACAGCAGCCCAGATGTGCTAAGACAGTATGTGATGGGTATTTTTAGTAAGTGAATACTTACTAAAATAGAAATA